GAACAACTTGTACCGACAGCACAGTGGTATTTTTCCCCTTGCTGAACGACCGTCGATAACCCGACGCTGAGTACGACAAACAAATTTTAATGTGAAATGACATAGAAGCGTCTCACCAAACACCTTAAAAACATCAACATCAACCTTGGAAAGCTATTGTAGAGCAATTTAATTAATGGGGTCACTGGCGACATTCCATCGCACTTCTGGCTTCGGTGGTGCAAAGACGTATATACTACGTAAATGCTACGAAAGTGCTGCAATCAGTAAAAATCCAAACACAATGTCTTCTCTCTGTTGTCTAGCGATAGTAAATTACCCAAGATGCCTTGCCCGATGAACCCCTGCTGTGACAATTAGCGCGTCTCACATCAGAGAAGGCTATTAGAGAAGGCTGCTTATCCTTTGTGTATACGTCTTTGGGTGGTGCACGTTAAAGACTAGAAACACAGTGAATAATATTCATTTGGCACCTGCTATACATTGAACTAGATTAAATATACTCAAGACACCAAAGTAATGCAAAATTTGATTTCAACTGCCGTATGTCTCAGCTGAACATATTCGATTCAATCTATTAAATCAGAAGGTATGATGATGATCTAGACTAACATTTAGTCTCTGAAATCTTATATTACACAATATCCTTCTTGACGCTAAAAATATGTAAAAATTCCCTATTCTGATTGTGTGGAATAGAGCTAGCTTGAGCTGGCTAGACTTGCTTTTGTATGCATTTCTAGATTATTATTTTTTCATAAAATATATATATTCCACGGTCATGGTGCAGGACTAGATGATGGTCATAAAAAGCATTTTCTGAAACATTTGATCAATTTTCATTACTCAGAATAGAATCTAGAAATTTGATTGGTCAGTGACTGACTTGTAAAACCTGCACGAATTGGAGTCACATGACGTCACAAAACGACTTGTGCGGATTTGGTGACTTCAGCTCATGCTGGACCTCAGACATTGCAATACTTCCGGCGAGACGTCCATCTGTCACAGGAATCGACCTTGTTATGGCCTGGTGTGATCAAGCAGCGGTCCACTGGATGAAATTGTATCTGTCGATCTTGCTTTCTGGCCACCCTCTGTAAAAAGCCTTCTGCATTCACTGAATACACCTCACATGACTGTACACTTCTCACATACCGGAATACTCCTCACTAACTTAAGAAGATTATATGCAAAGCAGCATCTCTCAGGATACCAGGACTTCGTGTAGGACTTTTATTTCAGCATCATTGGAATAGATTTGCTTGTTATGTTACACAGTTCTCCAAGCATCTTCCAAGTCCACTATCTTGTGTGCATTTGCATCCAGTCCCAAGAAATTAAATTAGCTGGTGAAAGCTTCCAAGCATCAAAACAGATGGCGAAACTCACTCCGAGTGCTGGACTTTCTCAAAATATTTGGGACAGGCCTTTTAGGCATGAAGAATGCATCACCAAGGGCATAGTGCTCACCAACTATCTGATCTGTTTCATTCTGCACACGAGTCTAGGGCAATTGGCGAAGACGTTTCATAAATAAAAGCGAGAAAACAATTTCAACATCTTCCCGAGGCAAGGGAGTTAAATGACTATAAAAGTCCAGTTACCACCCTTGCCAAACAAGGCTGGTATTATGGAGTTACATTTTGGCTGGACAACGAGTCTATGCATAGTCCAATCGCAATCGCGCAACGAAATCGAAATCCGGTTCATAAACCGTCGTGCAGATTTCGGTTGATTGCAGCATTTACAAAGCATGTGCACTGCCAACTCGTTGTCAACAGCTATTCAAGGTGCTCACGTGATTTGATGCACTTCCCGATGTAAGACCCGTTTTATCACAACATAGATCTTGATTATCGACCAGATCGTCTTGACTGGGCGCCGCCATTTTGTTTGAAGCAAAGCAAGTGATACGAGAGGTGGAATCTGATTGGTCCATAGGAGAGGCATAGAAGGGACGAAACCCCCAATAGCCACGATCGAGCCCAGGCATTCCAACCTAGTTCGGCAAGGGTGGAAACTGGACTTTTATAGTCAGTTAACTCTCAGTATGCCATTTCCATAACTGATGATCTGATATCGTTCTATAATGGTCAAGTAGTCAGTATTCCCTTCCACTGATTTACCCTCCTGAACTAGACATAAAAGTGACCCGTGAAACCGCCTTATGTGTTTTATGTTTAGACCTATGCATACAGAGTAATAAAACACTATCTACAAGACTATATGACAAGAGGGATGACTAAAAACTTGACCTTCATATCTAGCAATTTTCCAGTAGCTCCAGCTCCATCATAATTCCTTATCTGACTTGTACCATTATATTGCTTTGTCTTATCAAGTTAACAATTGACTTGCCTTTGCATGTGTTTGTGACGGGTGCCATCAGTAGGGCAAGATACGCTCACCTTCCGCGAACACTTTGTAGCATCACTATTTGATGGTGATTCATAAACACATGCTTGGGATATAGTCGGAAATGTACAATGGATTGTATTTATGGAAAGGGTTTTTGTCGCTTTATTTATTTGACACGAATGAGTGACGGTTACATGAAATTTGAAATCAGAGTCAGTAAAAGAATCACATAAGGTACATGTAACGGATGGAGACAAGGGTTGCCAATGATTCTACACACCTAACGGCCATTGTGGCCACACGATCCACATTGTATTTATAAAAGCCGATAGTAAACCGTCAAAACCGTCTGAAAGACCATTAGTACTAATATTATTTCCTTGTAATTATACATGCATAAGTCGATTTAAATAATGTGTACAAATTATGTGTAATATTCCAAGACTGTATAAATTATGTGTAATGATCAAAGATTGTAAAATTAGGCGTAATATTAATTGTACAAATAGTGTCATATTCCAAGCTTCTACATGCATTTATTAAGTGAGTGGGTGAGTTGGGTTTAACGCCGCTTTTAACAGTATTCCAGTTATATCACGGCGTGTAAGCTTAATGTGGGAGGAAAGCCCGGAGTGATGCGGGTCTCAGACATTTACCACTTCGGTGAAACCCACGAGCACGGGTATGGTGCTGACAAACCTAGAAACATAATCGGGTCGAACCGGGATTCGAACCCACAAACGTAGGTTTCTGGCATACCCAGGGGACGCAACTCTGCACAGCGAATCGCGGCGCCTTAGACGACATTTATTAAGAGTAATGTTTAAAGATTGTACAAACTAGGTGTAATATTCCACGATCGAACAACAGACGATCATGAGCATCGATATATGGAGAATCTCAACCAAGTGTGGGGGCGGTCGGGTAGTCTAGTGGTTAAAGCGTTCGCTCGTCACGCCAAAGACCCGGGTTCGATTCCCGACATGGGTTCAATGTGTGAAGCCCATTTCTGGTGTCCCCCGCCGTGATATGTTGGACCGGCAACTTAGCGTGTCGACCCACCTCTGTCCTGAGCGGTTGGCTACATGCACGTAATCTAATGAAGGCTTTGGGGTGGTGTGTGTGTGTGTGTGTGTGTGTGTGTGTGTGTGTGTGTGTGTGTGTGTGTGTGTGTGTGTGTGTGTGTGTGTGTGTGTGTGTGTGTGTGTGTGATTGTGTGTGTGTGGTGGTGGTGGGGGGGGGGGGGAGGAGAGGGGGGGGGGAGGGGGGGGAGGGGGTGTCACTGGTTACGTAAGGTTTGTTTGTTGTTTAACGACGCCCTCAGCAAGCTTAGTCGCCTTAAATGGCAAGCATGGGTTGCTGAAAACCTATTCTACCCCGAATCTTCTGTAGCTATTTATCTTTGTCGTTCCATAGTTCAATAAACCACTTCTGCTCATCAGGGATAAACAGTTACTTTTTAACCAGGCAGAGTCCAAAATTGTGGGTTTGAATCCAGGTTCGCCCCGATTATGTTTCTAGGTTTGTCAGCACCATACCCGTGCTCGTGGGTTTTCCCGAACTGGTAAACGTATGAGACCCGCATCACTTCGGCTTTCCTCCCACATTAAGCTGACACGCCGTGATATAACTGGAATACTGTTAAAAGCGGCGTTACACCCAACTCACTCACTCACTCACTCACTCACTCACTGAGATTTACAATACGGTGTTCCCATGAACGTTTACGTTTTAATGACCACTTGTGAACAGTATTAGAAAGTCTAGTCTCTTGAACATCACAGTCTATACCATTCCAGGTTTGGTTACACATGAAGTCAACGTGTCCCCTCTACTGGCAATATAAGATGTGTTGCACTGGTTCGCAGGAAAAGGCACCATGCTCTGTTCTGTACCGTATTCATAACACTGTGTTCATTAAGACCCCAAATACCACCTTCATAAGTCATATCGGTCGTACAAGTGAGTTATTTTATGCAAGGAATATGCCATCAGCCTACCCAAGCGTCACTAAACTTTGAGCAGCGTGCACTTAGTGTCTGCATGGCTTGCATATTTAGCCAGCTCGCTTTCCGCTAGTTTAAACTTTAAATGTTCATCCAACCATAGGCAGGGATACTTATGAGACGCAGTGTTGTCTAACAAAATATGTGAATTTTGCTTAAGAACAACTCATGTCACCCGGTCTATTTGTGACTTGTTACTATTAAGTTGTAATCTCCATTTAGCCCACTATTCATGTGTCTTGTTTAGCATCTGTTGAAGGTTCTGTACACCTGCTCGGTGGGAATTGGTTAGTTATCGTGTTTATTAACTTAAGAATAGCAACAAACAAGGCCAAACGAGAGTTTCTACCAGTAAATACGGTAAGATCGGTAGAGGCGTTGGATGCAAGGGTCAAGGTGACCCAATGTGAAGATGACACAGATACATCCAGAACTGCACCCAGAACACAGGGGACCTGCACTTGCCGATACCCGACAGATACACCCAGAACCTGCACCCAGAACACAGGGGACCTGTACTTGCCGATACCCGACAGATGCACCCAGAACCTGCACACAGAACCTGCACCCAGAACCTGCACCCAGAACCTGCACCTAAAACACAGGGGACCTGCACTTGCCGATACCCGACAGATGCACCCAGAACCTGCACCCAGAACACAGGGGACCTGTACTTGCCGATACCCGACAGATGCACCCAGAACCTGCACCCAGAACCTGCACCCAGAACCTGCACCCAGAACCTGCACCCAGAACACAGGGGACCTGTACTTGCCGATACCCGACAGATGCACCCAGAACCTGCACACAGAACCTGCACACAGAACCTGCACCCAGAACCTGCACCCAGAACCTGCACCCAGAACCTGCACCCAGAACCTGCACCTAAAACACAGGGGACCTGCACTTGCCGATACCCGACAGATGCACCCAGAACCTGCACCCAGAACACAGGGGACCTGTACTTGCCGATACCCGACAGATACATCCAGAACCTGCACCCAGAACACAGGGGACCTGTACTTGCCGATACCCGACAGATACATGTACATCCAGAACCTGCACCCAGAACACAGGGGACCTGTACTTGCCGATACCCGACAGATACACCCAGAACCTGCACCCAGAACCTGCACTCAGAACCTGCACCCAGAACCTGCACCCAGAACCTGCACCCAGAACCTGCACCCAGAACCTGCACCCAGAACACAGGGGACCGGCACTTGCCGATACCCGACAGATACACCCAGAACCTACACCCAGAACACAGGGGACCTGTACTTGCCGATACCCGACAGATACATCCAGAACCTGCACCCAGAACACAGGGGACCTGTACTTGCCGATACCCGACAGATACATCCAGAACCTGCACCCAGAACACAGGGGACCTGTACTTGCCGATACCCGACAGATACACCCAGAACCTGCACCCAGAACCTGCACTCAGAACCTGCACCCAGAACCTGCACCCAGAACCTGCACCCAGAACACAGGGGACCTGCACTTGCCGATACCCGACAGATACACCCAGAACCTGCACCCAGAACACAGGGGACCTGTACTTGCCGATACCCGACAGATACACCCAGAACCTGGGTGTATCTGTCGGGTATCGGCAAGTACAGGTCCCCTGTGTTCTGGGTGTAGGTTCTGGGTGTATCTGTCGGGTATCGGCAAGTGCCGGTCCCCTGTGTTCTGGGTGCTTCTTACGACAAGCATGGGCTGCTGAAGACCTATTCTCACCCGGATCTTCACGGGTGATATGTTAATCTGAAGCGTATCAAGTTACTTGCAAACAATCCAACACTGAATTCTGACAGTCAGAGACCAGCATAAATTTCACGTCCTGTAGGCAATAAAACATTCACGAACAAAACTCTTCTAGGCCATGTTTGAGGCCATGTTAGAAGTGAGTGAGTGACTGAGTTGGGTATAATGCTGCTTTGAACAGTATTCCAGTTATACCACGGCGTGTCAGCTCAATGTGGGAGGAAAGCCTGAAGTGATGAAGGTCTCAGACGTGTACCACTTTGGTGAAACCCACCAGCGCGGGTATAGTAAACCTAGAAACATAATCGGGGCGAACCAGGATTCGAACCCGAATTGCAGCGCCTTAGGCGACTGGGCCATCCGTGCCCAAAGACGAATATTTTTCTGATCACGTTAGTGATACATGTATATAGAAAGGTATACATAATATTATAATTCTTTAGACGAACATACCATAGCCACATTTTACATAATTTTTTACATATTTTTATTTAAGAGGTATATATCTACATGGAGCGGGAGCTACAAGCTGTTCTACTGTTGGACCTTCCACGCCTTTTACGCCGCTTTTAGCAATGTTCTAGCAATATCACGACGGGGTACACCAGAAATGGGCTTCACACATTGTACCCATGTCGGGAATCGAAACCGGGTCTTCGGTGTGACGAGCGAACGCTTTAACCACAAGGCTACCCACCCGCCCGCATCTCTTAGAGATTGTTTTGACACTAGTCGAAAGAAGAATTCATTTCCAATGGCAGTATTACAAAATACACATTCCCTGTGTTCCTTTTCAACACTGCCCCATCCGCACTGCAGTTTGAATAGGAAGCCGGTGATAGGGCGTTCTGAGTCTTTACGCACCACCAGAATTTGGGTTGCGGTTGGGGTGTGTATGTTCTTTCAGTACAAACCTATGTTTATACAAAGTATAATATACTAAAAAAAACACCCCAAAACACAAAAGTGATTTTTAGATGTATATTTTATATTTCATATAATAATCAACAGATGGTAATCGATTGTTCATTGCACGCATAATTGTCATTGACCCAGTTTCCATATAGCACAGTAGATTTTCAAGGTGAAGGTCACGTGTTCTCAATATCTTGTATGGTCACCATTAGAGTTCTAAACTGACTGGCATTGTTGTCCCATAGAAGCAAGATCCCGAATTGTGGCCTGGGGAATGTTCACCAACTCTGCCTGCAGTGCTTGCGCCAACTGTCGGAGGTTCTGTGGTTGTTGCTGACGTGTTCGCAGTCGTAGGTCCAGTGCATCCCAGAAATGTTCAATTGAGTTTAAATCTGGAGACGTGGAGGGCCATGGCAGGACCTGGATGTTGTGATTCCTGAAAAAGGCTGTTGTCAGTCTTGCCGTGTGAGGTGGGGTGTTGTATTGTTGGAAAATGACGTTCGCTTGTTGCATAATGAGTAGGATGTGTGGCTGAAGAATCTCATTCGTGCCACGTTAAATTCCCTTCAACTTGCACCAAGTCTGTTCTACCAGTGTAGGAGATGGCTGCCCACATCATTACACTACCACCACCAAATCTGTCCACTTACTGTATGTAGTTTCGTGCATAACGTTGCCCGCGACGCATGTAAACACGACGTCTACGTACCATCCGCACGGCGAAGCATCAAACGTGACTCGTCATTAAACCAAACTTTTCTCCATCGCAGTTGTGGCCATACTTTGTGACCAGCCGACGATGCAAGTCCGCCATAATGACACCTCGAAAACTGGTTGTCTGGCGCGAATACCTTCAGCGCCCTTTTTTTAAAAGACTGGCAGTACTGAACATTTACTTGCACAATTTGCAGATGATACGACTTTGATGTTAGATGGATCTAAAGGCCTCTACAATGTGTTAAAGACACTTAATTTTATTTTGAGGATTAAAAGTTAATACAGACAAATCCAAACTGATATGGATTGGTTAAAAAAAGAGATCATAAGCTCTGTAAAGAGTGGAATCTTGACTGGACTCCTATAACGTTTAAATTATTGGGACTAAACTTTCCTATTTATTTGGAAGAAATTACTGCCTTAAACTATACACATAAATTTGAAAAAATTGAAAGGGAAATGAATGTATGGAAAGCAAGATTATTGACTCCAATAGGTAGAAATACAGTTTTAAAATCACTTTTGGTAACCAAAATTAATCATTTGTTTACATCTATACCTAGCCCTAGTGATGAAGTAATAGAACATTTTCAACAAAATTGTTTTTCTTTTGTTTGGAAAGGAAAGCCAGACAAGGTTAAAAGAAATGTAATGTCACAGCCCTATCAGTTTGGTGGGATCAAAGTACCTATTATTAAAGATATGACAGATTCACAAAAACTCTCCTGGGTAAAAAAAGTACTTAATAGTAACTCAAAATGGGTATTACTTTCATTGAATTCTATCCCAAACATTAACAGATTATATAATTATGATTGGCAGATGCTAAATATGTCACTGATGAAATTATTCCTGCTGTAGACAAATATTGTTGGAAAGATGTTTTACAAGCCTGGAGCAGTTTTTTTTTATCAAGTAATATTAGTAGTAGTATTGACATTGTAAACCAGGCTTTATGGTTTAAAAACAACATTCCGATAGGAGGAAAGTCCATCTTTTATCCAACTTGGTATTGTAAGGGAGTTACATTTGTTGGTGATTGTTTATGAAAGAGGTGAAATATATTTTTATGACTGACTCTTTTATTGATAGATATGGTTTAACAACAAATTTCCTAACATATCAGGGTATAGTTCAATCAATTATGAAACTTGCCAGAAAAAAACCAATCCTTAACTTTTAGAGTATGCCTAGAGTTAGACTAACATCTAGTCTCTGAAATGAACATATCGTACAGAAAAAAACCGTTGTTCAATTATCTTAATAGAAATATAATAAAACGGAGCCTGGAGACTCTCTTCATTTTCAGATACTGCAGTAATCTAGATTTGCCAAACATTATAGACTTGCATGGGCTGTATTTGATATACTTGTATCAGGGTCTGCAAGACGGACTAGCCTAGAGTCTCTTTCCAAACTATTTTGCCACACACAGTTTCACTACTCATAAGGAGTAATAAAGGCAGTAAACTCTTCTATAACACACTCTTACAACCATCTTTTATTAAATGTCACGGAAAGCTTAAGTGGGAAGAAACGTTACAAAAAGTATTTACCAATGAACAGTGGGTGGGATTTAATTTGATGGCAACAAGGTGTACCTAGAGTGTAGAACTGAGATGGTTTCAGTTTAGCATTATCCACTACATAGTACCTTTAAATAAGTACTTACATACTATTGGTTATAAAGATTCACCAAGTTGCAGCTTCTGTGGTAAATACAGTGATACTATTGTACATGCATGTTATGATTGTGAATATATTGCCCAGATGCGGGAGCTGGTCTTAACTGGTTCACGACATCTGTGGAAGGAAGACTTGATTTCTGTAAAGAGAATATTTTATTTGGATTTAAGGGGAAGAATAACAACTCTCTCAATGTAGTTATATTACTTATCGAATTTATTGTGTTTAAACAGTCACGAAAGGGTTTTCAGCTTAATTTGAAATATATTCAACGTGAAGTTATTAGATACTACAATATGACAAAATTAATTGCATTCTCAAATTGCAATTATACAACTTTCAGTTCTGGTCTTCCTTCCACAGACTTTTCAATCCAAGCAATGAATAGTTGTATGATATCATATTTTATGATTGTCTATATTTGCAATATGTTTTGATAGTTTGATGTAAAGGGAGTGGATTTTGAATAATGTATACTTGTTGAAATGTTTTATTTGAAATGTGAATATAGACTTGAATATTTAAAAAAAAAGAATACCTTCAGCGCGTAAACAGTTCCTCACTGTATAGTATTGCTGTAGTCGTAGAGGTTGCCGTGGTGGTTCTTTCACGTAAATAACGTAGCCGTTTGAATGTGTCCAGTGCTCAGGAAGTGATACGTGGTCGACCGGATCTGGGAGGGTCACGTGTTGTCCCGTGTGTCTTATAACGGTTCAACAGTCATGTAATGGTGCTTGGTGCGACGTGGAAAAAAATGGCTACAGCTGAAGATGATTCTCCTGTTTGTAGTCGTACGTTTAACTTGTTGCGTTGGGCTTCCGTCAGTCGTGGCATGTTTTCACTGTTCACTTGCTGTAAGATTGTGATGGCATACAAATAAAAACTCAACGATTTTATAGCCCAACAAGTGATGTTGCCCGTGCATGTCATGTCAGTGTGTTTCGGCGCCACACGTGGTTGTGTTTTTTTTATAGATTCTTCCATCTTTTGACCAAATGTCTGCAGTACCTCATTCTTTCCACAAAACTAACCCCCAATCCATGCAAAAATGACCAATGTCGGCAACACTCGCGAAATTTACGATTTTACTACTTTTGCGTTTCCTTCTTTTCAAAGTATACCGACCTTTTGGTGGTATTCATTGTAATCCACTCGAGCTTCTGATATTTACAAAAATAAGATTTGAACCGAATTTTGATAAGTATGAGGGAATGCCTGTTCCATATACATTAAACTACGTTTATAACGAACACCCATATAATGAACTGCCGGAATTAACGAACTGTTTTTGAGTCCCATCCATATGGGTGTTCGTTATATATATAACGAACTGCGGGTAAAACGAATTAAAATTAATGGTCCCTTTGACTTCGTTATAACCGTAGTTTACTGTATATATGGCGCTACAATTGCGTCCCCTTATCTGTGCCAGGTTCCGGTGTAAGCTAGGACTTAACCCAGTGTGGCAGCTTCTCGTGGGCTTCAAGTGGTGAGCATCTATGCAGGCATCACTTTGAGCTTTTCGCCCACGTCAAATGGCGTGATACTGAAACATCTTTATATCTTACTCTCTCACTCGCCGTGTAACCCGTGCAGGTGACATGACCTATCTGTGGAAGATAACACTCAACACTCACGCACCTCACATCAACGACACAGGTATAGAGGAGTTCATCACGTCACCACCCGACAGATAGAACGCTCCTTGTTTCAGCTGTTTGAAGGTATGGCGATATTTCCATTTATACATATTTTGTTCATATACTAAATATTATATACTTATGTAAGTATACTTATGTAACTAGACCCGTGAAGATCCGGGGTAGAATAGATCTTCAGTAACCCATGCTTGCCGTAAAAGGCGACTATGCTTGTCGTAAAAGGCGACTAACGGGATCGAGTGGTCAGACTCGCTGACTTGGTTGATACATGTCATCGTATCCCAATTGCGTGGATAGATGCTCATGATATTAATCACTTGATTGTCTGGTCCAGACTCGATTATTTACAGACCGCCGTCATATAACTGGAATATTGCTGAGTGCGGCGTTAAACGACCAACCAACTTATGTAAGTAAAAGGCATGTCGAAAAGAGTGAACGACTGATCTGAATTCCATAAGCCGACCGACGTTGATAACGTGCATTGACTAAATGAAGGTCAGGCTGTGTAGAGGTATGGGCCTGTCGATACTACTCAAAACAAAAGGGAAGAGAATTTATTCTTTATTATTTGGAAACACAACGTTTCCGAGTTTATGCTTATTCCTTCATCAGATGAATGCTATGTGGCAGAGAGTATATATATGTACATGTAAGAACTAACAAGGGAAGCCAACAGATAATTGGCGCTGATAGGTGATTATAATTAATTAAATTATAGTGATTGGTAATGGGCAATGGGCAAACGGGAGGCCGGGGGTAATTAGCATTGATAGGTAAAAGAAAGGACATAAGTGCAAAAGGAAGCCAGCTAGATAATTAACAACGATAAAGATCAAAGCTATAAGTCCCAAGCACTCGGCAGATAGGAGCTCTGGACACCAGCCAGCCATGAACCGTGACCAGGGCACCTATGTGCCTAGTGCTTATGTGTACCACTTCTAAATGTAACAGGGGCGGTCGGGTAGCCTAGTGGTTAAAGCGTTAGCTCATCACGCCGCATACCCGGGTTCGATTCCCGGCGTGGGTACAATGTGTGAAGCCCATTTCTGGTGTCCCCCGTCGTGATATTGCTGGAATATTGCTAAACCATACTCACTCACTCTAAATGTATATTTGGGATAACACTTTCTTAGCAAAGTACAGATTCTCGTACGGGTCCCATCCGGGATTCGAACCCACACTGCCAGAGTGAGGCACCTTATCGCCAGCACACAAAGTCAGCGATCTAACCCACTCAGCAACCGAGACTTCCGCAAAAATGAAAGTCCGACAACTGGTAGTCTAGATCGCGTACTTTGTGTACCCCTCTGACAAGTATAAATTGGCACAGCTCCCATGGCCGAAAGCTATGAATACACAATGCCATTTAGAAAGTGGTCAAATGTTATATTTGGGATAACGCTTTGTAAGTAAATCTAGACTACCAGTTGTCGGACTTTCATTTTATGTGGAAGCCTCGGTGGCTGAGTGGGTTAGATCGCTGACTTTGTGTGCTGGCGATTAGGTGCCTCACTCTGGAAATTCTGGAATCCCAACGCAGTTTTGCAGTAGGAATAACCATTAAATATCTAAACGGAGCGAAACTTTGTTAGCTCAACACCGTTTTCTCACGTTCAAGAGATTGTTGATTTATGTTGATCCTGATCAGAGTGTTTTATTTGTTTGTTTGTTGTTTGACGCCGCACTCAGCAATATTCCACCTATATGACGGCGGTCTGTAAATAATCGAGTCTGGACCAGACAACCAGTTATTGACGTCACGAGCATCGATCCACGCAATTGGGATTCAATAACATGCATCAACCAAGTCAGCGAGCCTGACCACCCAGTCCCGTTAGTCGCCTCTTACGACAAGCATAGTCGCCTTTTACGACAAGCATGGGTTGCTGAAAACCTATTCTACCCTGGATCTTTACGGATCAGAAATATATTCAAATATCGGCAGTACGCTTGACTCGAACTATGGATACGGATGCGTTCGGGCTATCGAGGTTTGACTGTACAATAATATCCAATTATTGCAAGCTATTTCAATCATACTGTTACATTAACAGTTGCCAAGAGAACATTTCAACCCCGTTGAATAAATCGGTGTGTTTTGGCCTCATACCCGTGTTCAAGGCATCAACGAGAAACTTTGAGATAGCGGGGATTTCGTCATAAAGGCATGTATATCTGAACGTGTATACATATTTATTATGCCTCAAAAGGAGTTTGACCAATCAGAGAGCAGAACTACTAACCCATTTGAGCCCGTATACCGTCAGTGAAAATCTAAGATGGTTGTTACTGACCTAATATGGGACCGTACACCGTATATCAACGCCTCGCCCAATATGTTTCTGCTCTACCTAATATGACACAGTATACGGCAACTAAAGACACCGTAACTAATAGAATGAAGCCGATGAAATCTTGGCTTAGCTTCGAGCTAGAAAGAAGGGATTTCGTGATAAGGGTATTTAAATGAACGTATATACTTTTATGAATCCGAGTAACCTTGATTATATTTCGTGATGAAGGATATTTAGCAAGGACAGTATTTGTGAATGAGATTCTTTTTCAGCTTGATACACCACAAACTGTCATCGGCGGCGTCCCTTGAACTATGGACAATCCGGGATTTGGGAAGTCGAGCGAGTTCCTCAATGAAGATGGGGTAGTCAGTGTTGATGAACACGTCCCTGGACCAGGTACATATATCGTGGCCTCAGTTATAGAAATGTCAAAATTATTGTCACGCAATTGTGATACGATGACATGCATCAACCAAGTCAGCGAGTCTGACCACCCGATCCCGTTAGTCGCCTCTTACGACAAGCATAGTCGCCATTTACGGCAAGCATGGGTTGCTGAAGGAAGATTCTACCCCTGATCTTCACGGGTCCCTTTTAATGAAGATAGTTTTGGCTATGTATGGCAAAGTCAGAGGTAGACTACCCTGAACATTTCATGAACATAATCACTTAAAAAGACTAAAGAGTCTGTATATACAGAAATGGAACTCGGTACTATTATTATCACCAAAATGTATTTAATTAAAAATGAAGAACATCATTTGAAACCTCTTTTGCAAAAAATTATATCATTTTCTCGAATAAGATGCTCATAGACCCGTGCTCGTGATGCAACTGAACAACGGTTCAGTGTGGAATCCTAAAAGGGACATTGTCGCCTTGTCGCCCTTACAAAAACAAGCAAAAGGTGTCAAAAATAAGTGCATCTTCCCGAGGCAAGGAGTTAACTGACTTTGAAAGTCCAGTTTCCACCCTTGCCAAACTAGGCTGTAATTCCTGGGCTCGATCGTAGCGCCACCAATTGTTATTACGAGTTATGTCCCTTTTAAGCCTCTCCTACGGACCAATCAGATTCCACCTCTCGTATCACTTGCATTGTCAAACTAAAACGGCGGCGCCCAGTCAAGACGATCTGATCGATAATCAAGATCTATATTGTGATAAAACGGGTCTTACATCGCGAAGTGCATCAAATTAAGTGAGCACCTTGATTAGAAACATGAAAAGACTTGGAAATGATCTGTTGACAACGAGTTGGCGGTGCACATGCTTTGCAAATCCAGCAATCGACCGAAATCTGCAGGACAGTTTACAAACCGGATTTCGATTTCGGTGCGCGATTTTGATTGGACTATGCATAGACTCATTAGTCCAGCCAAAATGTAACTCCATAATTCCTGCCTTGTTCGGCAAGGGTGGAAACTGGACTTTCATAGTCAGTTAACTCCCTTGCCTCGGGAAGATGACCAAAGTGCGACAACGCGACATTTTTGTCATTTGTCGCCTTGTCGTGCTTTAAATAATTATTTTTTTTATTTCAGCAAAGAGCGACAATGCGACAACGCGACATTGTTCAAGGTCAACATATGTCGCCTGTCGCGCTTTGGTTAAGTTTGACATTTTTTACTTGTTTTTTAAGGGCGACAACGCGACAGTGTTCCCTCTAAGATTCCATAGTTCAGAGCCCTTTGTGACCTGCCTGAACGATACAAAGCGGCATTAAATCCCATCTCACTCAGTGGATAGAGCGTCTGTCCAGAGAGCGGAAAGTCGGGTGTTCGATCCCACGGACACGCCATACCAAGAGACGTTAAAAGATAGTACTTGGTGTTGCCTGGCGCTCGGCATTAAGGGGGTAAAACAAGGACTGGTCGGCTCAGAGTCAGTGTACTGTGTCTGAGTAGGGTATTCATGTTAAACTGCGGCAAGGTTTCTCAGTGGGCTAGCACTATAAATCGGCATTAGTCCGTACTGGTACAAGAAGCCACACACACGCGTGCATGCGCGTCGCGATATTTGTGGCGCGTGCGCGCGCGCGCGTTTGTGTGTGTTCACTGATACTAGTCAAGACTAATGCCGATTTTATAGTGCTAGCCCATGAGATACAGTATATTACTTCATAGCAGATCAGTCCTTGTTTTAGCCCCTGAAAGCCGTGTGCCAGGCATGGTTACACCAAGAACCATCTTTTAACGTCTTTTGGCATGACGCGGCCGGGCAGACGCTCTATATCCAGTAGTCTTGAGTAGGATGGTGAAGCGACCACATACAACACATGCATACAGCATAGGTCACATGTGCTATATCAGTATTATTATAAATATCACCGGATAGTTTAAAGTCTCGATACAAATGAACAGTCATACACCAGCTGATGCGGGACACGTAGCTACCTACTGACAGGTATTGACAATATTGACATACGCGTTATGAATACATGACAAAGCAGGCATTCTGACTATCCACTTGACCACGGTGGCGGCTTTGCCGTTCATAGCAGCATTCTGAGTCTGACATTAAAAATAGATACCTTGGCGCTGTTAGAATAAATCCTATAAAATAAAATAGTTATTACACACGATGTGATTGTTTCGAAACGCGTGTCAGTGCTTGCGTTTGAATCGATAAGTTGACGTGTCGTCACAACAAGGGCACAAATTGAAAACTATGCATGCGCTAAGAACTGACATAAACATAAACAACCTTGGTTAATAGTTACAAAGAAATATGTAACAATTAAGGAAATATAATTAAACACATTTAAGTAATTAGATTACTCCAATAATAAAGTTTGTATATGATTGACGGGGATGTTAAACTATTTCAAATAGTTATGAGAGTAGAACATTATGCAATAGGGGGTGTGATGGATAATAGAAATCCTACGTGGCTTAACACCCTGCTAATGATTTATCATGAAGAAAATTGAGACAGCAATTACTCATGACCGTATGTCAACATTGTTTATCAAAACTATGAACCGTGTACAATAGCGTGCAATGTGTATCAACATTATCGGATTACACTCCTTGTGAGCGGATCACATGACCGTGATCACATGACTTCAGTGTAAACGACAAGATGGCGGATGAGGAGGAACGGACCCCTCTACTGAAGGAAAACACGGGAGGTCAAGAACAGGAACTCCCACCGCCTTACTCTGATGACCCCAGCAATTTTGGTAATCATGTTAAACCTCACTAGTCCTGTTTCGTGATTTGCTATGAGGTGTCTTGTCATAAAATTGTGTCGTAATATCTTGATTAGTTGTCAGGTTCGTTTCCAGGTAATTCTGTAGAATCTTTCTTGGGGTATAGATACATCCGAAACATCACGCCCTTAGAAAATGTTTCTGGAAAAACAGGAATAAGTCTGTTATTGGTGGAACACATTATCTAGTCATTAAAAAATTCAAACTCTGAATGATTCGTCAGGGAAGTGTTATTTACAAATTACAGTTGAGTTCGTTTATCTGATTTCTGATTTCATTGACCATCAGATCAATGTTATGTTTGTATGAATGCTATTCGTTACAGAATCGACACAGATCTATATGTATGTCGAGCTATTAAAGGTTGAATGACAATCACATTTTGTTTCATAAACATTGCTGCCATCTAGTATATATATACAGTTAACTACGGTTATAACGAACACGCTTATAACGAACTGACGGATATAACGAACTCACTTTTTAGTCCCGACTATTTGTTGTAGTTATGCTGTATATATGCTTATAACGAACTACGGTTATAACGAACTAAAATAGTAGTCCCTTTGAGTTCGTTATAACCGTAGTTTACTGTACTGAGTTTGGATTTTATAAGGGGGCCTACACAAACCTAGCTTATCAATGTAGGGTTGTAGGATATATTGTGTGATGTATGTGGTGATAGACACTGCTATAGCAAGTAACTGATCCCTATAATATGAGATTTATACAGATTTGAGTAATTTACTGGTACTGAGGAAGTTGTGATCAAAATATAGGATTTCTAATTTCCTGAGGTGTATGTCAGATGTAGAACGATTTCCAGCTTTGTGAACTCTCTGGGTCATCACGACATGACAATGCACTAGTTCCTCAAAGAAATACTGCTTGGTATTGTATTATTGATTTCCTTTGATTGTTTGTGTTAAAGCATTTGGATACAGGTCACATATTTTGCTTTCAAGTAAATATGATAAAACTATAAAAACAAAGCAATAACTCTCCTACCAACTGATGAAATGGAAAACTATATTTCTGACATCATGGATATGTGTCTAAACAAATCTTAGTTGCATTATAACTACAGATTTCCTACTTTTCTTACCGTACAAATAATATCAGATTCTGATTGGCGTAGACCCATTCTTTTGTTTCCAATTTACCCCAGCTTACATGTAAGGTACATCCCTACTACATTTCTTATGTTCCCCGCCCAAATAGCCGTACTGATCAATGCTGATGGCATTACATTTGCAACATACCAACCATAATTCTATCTCAATTTAATCATCTGATCGCCAGATATTTTCGATTTTTTCCAAATGAAATAGATCTTGGGGGAATAAGTTTGTTTTCTGTAGTCTGCTATTTTGCATTAGTGTGGTATTCTGGCAGATGCAGATCAAACCATGCATGCATGATGAGACATACCTACAATATCATTAGGTGTGCGATAAGATAAATTTGTTGTTCACTTGTCCCTCAGGTGAAATGGGTTGATTTACCTTCCGTTAGTTTATGTTCCACTTCAGGCTTGTTTCCCATATGACAGTGTCACAAGACTAATGTGATCGGCGGTAAGGCTCACTGTCTTGGTTTGATGCATGTCATCATATCCCAATTATGTTGATCGATTCTCATGATGTCAATCACTGGATTGTCTTGTCCCAACTCAATTATTTGCAGCTGAAATATTGATGAATGCGGCATTAAATAACAACAATCCAAACAAACCGTGTCTTTGTACCCTGATGATGTGGATTGTTACTCTAAATATCAATCACTGGATTGTCTGGTCCAGACTTGATTAGTTACACTACAGGCTGACACCCTATAACTCGAATATTGCCGTGTGCTGACGTTAAACAACAAATATAGCATCAGGCAAAGGAGGCTATTTTTGATTAATTTATTATTTCAAGTTTTATTGGTTTAATTCATTGTTTCACAAGAGACCCGTGAAGATTGCGGGGTAGAATAGGTCTTCAGCAACCCATGCTTGCCGTAAAAGGGGACCATGCTTGTCGTAAAAGGCGACTAACGGGATCGGGTGGTCAGGCTTGCTGACTTGGTTGATGCATGTCATCGATCCCAATTGCGTGGATCGATGCTCATGATTTCAATCACTTGATTGTCTGGTCCAGACTCGATTATTTACAGACCGTCGTCATATAGCTGGAATATTGCTGAGTGCGGCGTTAAACAACAAACCAACCAACCAAAAAATTGTTTCACAATAGTGAAACTACTCATTTTTATGACTTATTAAATGCGTGTCGAGCAATGAAAAGCTTTTGACTTTATAGTGAATATGATTGGAGTGAAACACGTAACATTTATAGTGTTTCATTAACAGCGATACACTTTAATAACAATAGTTGTTAAGAAATAAGTATTAGCCAAATTGTTTACGGTAAAACATAACTCTTGTATATTTTAAAACATTCACTGTTTCAATAATTATCATTTCTCGTTGAATGATGGCTGACCTTTATGATGAATATCATGTATTTGTTTTAGTTCAAGCTGCAGCATCGACTGAGGTGACAGTCCCTCCCATCCAGCCGGATGAGTTGCCTCCCCCTTACACCCCCACCCCACAGGGGGGGCTGCCGATGGTCAACTGCAAGGTGTGTCAGGCCATGATCAACATTGAGGGGAAGAGTCACCTACATGTCGTCAAGTGTGGAGTGTGTCAGGAGGCCACGGTTAGTTGAGTCTGTTTGATCGAAAAAAGTTGTGAAAAGATCGGTCTTGTTGTTACCCTGTCTAGCGCTTGGCATTACCTGCTAACCATCATATTAATTCATAAATATGAAACAACAGAGAATAACCAGTTTCGATTATCTGATGAAAAAGATACCATTGGGCATAGACCACCTCCGTGGTCTAGTGGAAGAGAGGGGAAGATCCGGGGATTGATCCTTGGCCGCGTCATAACAAAAGACGTTAAAGGATGGTACTTGTTGTTACCCTGCCTGGCGCTTGGCTTTAAAGGGCTCGCTGCCTTAGTTGATGTATGTCATCATATCCCAATTGCGTAGATTGATGCTCATGATGTCAATCAATGGATTGCCTGGTCCACGCTCAATTATATACAGACCACTGCCATTTGGTTGGAATATTGCTGAGTGCAGCGTTAAAAAACAAAGAAACGTACGAGTCAGTAAACTCCAACACAATGATGGGATTTTACGGTATGTGGTGTTTTATCTTTCCAGCCCATCAAGGCAGCGCCACCTGGGAAGAAGTATGTGCGATGTCCGTGTAATTGTCTGCTTGTCTGCCGCAGCGCTGCACAAAGGATTGCCTGCCCAAGACAAAACTGGTAGGGAGAGCAGTGGGGTAGGCGGCCAGCTAAATGTTGTCACGCTGAACACTTGTGTTCAACTCCCACGATGAATACAATATGTGAAGCCCATGTGTTATGTTCCTGGGACGGGGGAGTAGCCTCGTGGTTAAAGCGTTTGCTCATCACGCTGAACACTTGTGTTCAACTCCCACCTTGAATACAATATGTGAAGCCCATGTGTTATGTTCCTGGGGCGGTGGAGTAGCCCTGTGGTTAAAGCGTTTGCTCATCACGCTGAGGACTTGTGTTCAATTCCCACGATGAGTACAATATATTAAGCCCCTGTGTTATGTTCCCTACCTTGTGACTTGAGAATTTGATGAAAATGGTTTGATATCACACTCGAGCTCACCCTTTTTGAATTGATCGGAGAATGGACTCTATCACGATCAGTTTGAACTTCATAGTGACAAGTTTGGTTGTAAGATGTTCCCACAAGTCACAAATTATTCAAATTATTTTGGTTTTGTGATAATTGACACAATATAATATAACTAAGAGATTTCTAGGGTGTCCAAATACCAATATCCATCATGTTAATTTTACACATGTTACTCTGACACATGTTACCATGACACATGTCACTATGACACATGTCACTATGACATATGTTTCTATGACATGTGTTTCTATGACACATGTTACTCTGACATATGTTACTATTACACGTTACTCTGACATATGTTACTATTACACATGTTACTGTGACATATGTTAGTTCACACGTTTCTCTAACACATGTTACTATTTGTCAGTGTGTGACTACTTGCCTTTCAGTCGCCGTGTGATCAACCTGAGTGGCGGTCTAGCCAGTGTTACAGTCCGATCTCCTGGCTCTGGACGCATCTGCTGTGCCTACTGTAACCAGATCTTCATAGTAAGTCAGGGTCATAGTAAGTCGGGGTCATCATAAGCCAGGGTCGTGCCTACTGTAACCAGATCTTCATAGTAAGTCAGGGTCATAGTAAGTCGGGGTCATCATAAGCCAGGGTCGTGCCTACTGTAACCAGATCTTCATAGTAAGTCAGGTTGATAGTAAGTCGGGGTCATCATAAGCCAGGGTCGTAGTAAGTAAGGGTCATCGTAAGTCAGGGTCATAGTAAGGGTCATAGTGAGTAAGGGTCATCATAAGTCATGGTCATAGTAAGTGAGAGTCATAGTAATCAGGGTGATAGTACGTCAGGGTCATCATAAGTCAGGGTCATCGTAAGTAAGGGTCATCGTAAGTCAGGGTCATCGTAAGTCAGGGTCATAGTAATCAGGGTGATAGTACGTCAGAGTCATCATAAGTAAGGGTCATCGTAAGTAAGGGTCATCATAAGTCAGGGTCATCGTTAATCAGGGCCATAGTAAGTCATGGTCATGGTATGTAAGGCGTGAACATGGTTGGTCCAGTTGTATCATATGGAGCACCAATTTGATGTGCAAATCATGCACACACCTTCTGAATCTAGATTTCACCCAATTATGATAGCTGACCCAGGTGTCAGAGAGTCTGTAATTCACTATGCAGAGTTGATTTCCCCTGGGTGACAATGTCTGTGGCCTGCAGTGACAGGCCTTCATCATGCACAGTAGTCATGGTAGTGTTCACTCATGCTATTGATAACATCCTTACAAGTCAACCAATGATATTCAATAGCTCACTAGTATCATATTGATTAATGTCTCCCTTGAATCAATACTATTTTCTCTGTAACATATAACATATTTATTGAACAAATCCTTATGGAACAAAATCCATCAATTTGACAAATCAGACTCTTTTTTTTTCCAATGACATCACCATAGTTTATTCATAAGAGTTGAATAGGTCTTCAGCAACCCACACAGCCCTACCAAATATTTCAAGGGAGATAATCCATTTTCCTAATCTCAGTTCCAGGTGAATTCCAGACTGTTGGCTCGATGTCCTCACTGCCGTAAAGTGTAAGTATGCTGTGAATGACCTAGAACTGTACACATTAATCATGCTGTATGTGTAAGCCCTAATGTATACCACATCTTCCCGAGGCAAGGGAGTTAACTGACTATAACCATGATAAAAGTCCAGTTTCCACCCTTGCCAAACTAGGCTGGTCTTATGGAGTTATGTTTTGGCTGGACTAATGAGTCTATGCATAGTCCAATCAAACTTGCAGAACCAAATTGACATCCGGTCCGTAAACAACATGTATCATAACATGCAGATTTCGGTCGACTGCAGGATTAGCAAAGCATGTGTACCATCAACTGGGCATCAACAGATATTTTGCAAATCTTTTCATGTTTTAAATCAAGGTGCTCACATGATTTGATGCACTTTGGGAAGTAAGGCCCATTTTATTACAATATAGATCTTGATCATCGATCAGATCTTCTTGACTGGGTGCCGCAATTTTGTTTGACACAAATGCAAGTGATATTGGAGGTCGAATCTAATTGGTCTATATGTGGGGCATAGAAGAGACATAACTTGTAATAGCCACGGATGGCGTAAGATTGAGGCCAAAAATTCCAGCCTTGTTTATCAAATGTGGAAACTGGATTTTTATTGTCGGTTAACTCCTTTGCCTTGGGAAGATGTGTATACCATCATAGTCTTGAACAGTTTAGAATTGAAACAGTGGTTGGAGTTGTCAAGTGATCTGAGTTATGCAGGGAGCACAGGTGGCCCAGTCGTCTAAGGCGCGCAATTCGCTGTGCAGAGTTGCGTCCCTTGGGCACACCAGAAACCTATGATCGTGGATTCAAACCCCAGTTTGAGCTTGATTATATTTCTTGGTTTGTCAAACCATACCTGTGCTTGTGGGTTTCAGAAAAGGTAAACGTCTGAAACCCGCAGTACTTTGGCCACCCACGTCAAGCTGACATGCCGTGATATAACTGGAATACTGTTCACATTGGTGTTAAACCCTACTCACTCGCTCACTCTGTGTTAAACATACTTGGTTATATTCCTAAAGGATTTGATATTCTAGTGATTCAATTCGTATAACAAAATTCAACACATGAAATAAGCATTTGTAGATGAAATGACTTTTGTGTGATCTTTTAAACATTTTTTGCGTGTCGGAAACATGTCTGGTCTTTGTGTATCAATGACATTTGAAGAGAGAAAATAACTTAGAGTAGCATCAGAATTTCCGCAGAAGTTGTTGTTGAAGTCAATCTGGATGCAAATCACAGACACACCTGTTCATGTCATTGTTTTTCATGGTAAGGAAATGTTTCACCATTTGTTAAAATGTGCAGTTCCCTGATATTACATGTGTAGTCATAAAATCTCAGATGTGAGACAAGGGTTGTCATATAGGTTTGAGGATATGGTGGAACAAATCCTGTGATATCTATCGCACACATTCATGGTTTCCGTGAAGACTAAAATACCGCAGAAATAGAGTCAGGAGATACAATAATGTGAATATATATATAATGTACAGTCGTCAACGAGTTTACTGAATGACTGTTGCAGGTCGGAGGTCGGCAGTGGATATGTCCGGACACGGGCATTGATTTGCCTCATCATCGGCATCCTGTTGCTGGGTGGAGGGATTGGGGTCACGGTAAGGTCACACCAGTTTATCAGGCTGCTTGAGGAGGACCTATTAATTTTTGTATCATCAACTACATGTTTTTTCTCAAGCTTAATGAAACAGTTATGTTTTTGGAGCTCTTAGTTTTTTAAGTGACCAAAACACAAATTGTCTGCAGCATATCATAAATTCAATATAAAATGCAAGAAGTAATATGTATTTAAATAAAAATAAAAACCTACAGAATAAAACATTCACTGATTTTGATATGATCACGCAGGCCTCTCATTTTAGGCTAAAGATAATAATAGTCTTGGTTCTCAGGCACTGCCCGCATAATCATAAAGTCTGCCACACGTTTCGTTTTTATTATAGAAATGGACTCCGTCCGTTCCTCCGTTACGTCCATTAAGTTTTGTTTCTGGAGCATAACTCAGAAGCCGTTCAATATTTTTTCATGAAACTTTGCAGGTCTGTCAGGTACATACTGAACTGGTGCCTTTTGCTATTTAGACATTTAAGAAATTTTTATTTTTTACGTTTCTATGGCAACAAGATGGACTTAGGTTCCAAACTCTTTTTTTTTTTACAATTTCCATGACAAGTTCCACCTCGGTTAAAAAAGGTTAGGGTTTGTTTAGATTTAATTATGTCATAAATTCTGCAACAGGGGCGGGGGATATAGCCACGCTAGTGGCAAACTCTTGTTTCATTTTTTTTAAAATATTCTTATTTTATTTAACCAATGTGATCCAATATAGCACGCAGTTACTTCCCTTTACATGCGCACTAGTTTACTACACATCTCCTGTTATAGTCATAGCGGCAAAAGGAGTTTGTATGCATCTTTTATTTAACAAATGTGATTCAATATAGCACGCAGTTACTTCCCTTTACATGTGCACTAGTTTACTGCGCATCTCGTGTTATAGTCATGGCGGCAAAAGGAGTTTGTATGCTTGTTAATGTCATGAGGCCCTTGCGCAGGTTGATGGTGCACTACTGTTTTTTTGGTTACATATTATTTGGAACAAGCAAAAGTCATTGCCTGAGAACCAATTCTTTTATTTTTTTAAACCTTACGCTGGTCATATTTCCCCTTCCAGATTGGCACCTATGCAATAGCTAGTGACTATGGAGGAATCTACGTGGTGTGGACAGGTAGGTGGCATGCAGGTTATATAACCAGTGCTAGCTCGCTATACAGATCATAGTGATCGATAATCGTTAACTAAATATTGATAAATATCGGTGGAAAACTTTGAGCAAATACGCAAAGGAATTCTGAAAGAATCAGCATATTTCACTCCACTGGTGAGTGGTGGCACATTTATTCAGGGATTACTTTGTGGACATTTGAGATGTAACAAAAACAGTTACTTTCCATCTTCAGCAATTGACATTATTGACAGTAACAAGTCTGTTTTGGTAAATCTAAACTTTATTTCATCACAAAAGTTCATGTCAGTTATTATCAATGTCCTAATTTTCATATCAAATATTGGTAACATTTCTTCCCAGCAACGATAAATCCGTTTATCGACTTTTTTTGCCAGCGCTTACCACAAGTACATTCAGGTTATGAGTGTCACCTCTGAACCTGTAGTCAGTGCTGCCACATAGTGTTTAAGACATCAAGGCAGACAAGTGTCAGAATTCTTGTATTTCCTTAGCGAGAGGGTTTTCTGTAAAGAATTTTCATTCAGACTCATATATAACAATTATCATTTTATTCATGAGAAGATAAACATGTTTTATTGAATATTCAAAACCGAGAAGTTTTATTTGGAACTTGCCGTGTTGGATTTTGACACACACTCTTATTGGTTTTACAGTCAAGTATTAAAATATATCTTTTAACAGAAAAGTGAACACAAGTATGTTCTGTTTGTTGCAGGCGCATTTATTTCTGGCATCTTGCTGGTGATCCGAGCCTTGTACTACTTCTCCATCCGTAGCAGCACCGTGGTGGGAAGTGCTTAATCACAGGTCAAGGTCACAGTGGATAGGTCAAGGTCACCTCAGGTCACAATGGGCAGAGCAGGTCACGTGAGCAGCCAGAACTCCTCCCGATCAAGATCAATCTGATGATTTTACAGTCCACTGATTGTTTTATTGGTGCAATGTCACAAGGTCAAGCTGCGACCATGGCAACTGGTTACAAGATAGAGTTTTAAAGATCGTTATACATGTTATACAAGAACACGCATACACAAATATTAGGTTGTAAAGCTTATTTCAACATCAATTTGTGCGACAGAATAGTTTAATGTGACCTATGGGGTGTATGGTTTTGTAATGTTGCAGATTTTGTTGTACAATAATTATATTATTCTGTTGTGATCTTTACAGTTCTAACAGTTGGTGAAGAACTTAATGATTGTTTGATAAAGATGTGTATATAAGACTTTTACATGTTATTCACATTATCTACATGTCAGATTTACTTGTGTGTTTTGAAACAATGCCGATTTGCCTCAATTCACAAGTCTGTTTTGTAGGAATGGTTTATTGTTGACCTACTGTTGAGAGTTCTCTATGTAAATTTGGACACACACTACCTAATCTGACCAACTTGGTGTCAAGTTAGTTTGCTGCTTATCATATCTAAAAGACAATAAAAAAGCTATTTATCCAAATAGATGCGGGTTTGAATGAAAATTTTTAGATCTGCTTGGAAATGTGAAATCACTTTATACATTTGAAAAAAAATCAAGATATTCAAACTCAGGATTAAAGATACACAAATGATTTCAACTAAGTTTGAAGGCACCATGGTTATTGAGTTAGATCACACAGCAGAATGAGTGACGAACAAACGAGGCTATCCCACCAGGGACACCTATCTACTTAATATCATTCATCAGTTATGGTTGTCGATGTGTCTGAAACATCTAGTTACTTCTGTAGTGTATTTTGTCCCTCAACAATTGATGTAAATATGCACCTGACATTAAGTATGTTGTACAGGCTAAGTATTTATAGACATGTGCTCATTGCCTGACGTTTGGCAAACGCTTAATCTGGTCTGCTCTCAAATAAGCAGTTCCACAATAATACTCACTGAAGGATGAGCGCTCACTTTTCTCAGTACCCAGGGTATATGAATGTCCTGATATCCCTGTCTTCACTGACTTTAAAAGTCAAATTTCCACCCTTGCTGAACTAGGCTGGAACTGCCAGGCTCAATCATAGCGCTACACGTGGCTATTACGAGTTATGTCCCTCCTATTAAACAATCAGATTCCATCTCTGATATCACTTGCATTTGCTTCAAACAAAATGGCAGTTCCCAGTCAAGACAAATATGATAGATAATCAAGATCCTTGAAATAAAACAGGTCTTGCCCCTCGAAGTGCATCAAATCACTTGAGCATCTTGATTAAAAACATGAAAAGATTTACAAAATATCTGTCGACACTCAGTTGGTGTTATACATGGTTTGCAAATCCTGCTGTCGACCGAAATCTGCACATTGAAATCCATGTTGTTTACAAACAATGTTTAGTTCGATGCGTGATTTTATTGGACTATGCATAGATGAATTTTCTGCCAAAATGCAACTACGCAATTCCGGCCTAGTTCGGTAAGGGTGGAAACTGGACTTTTATGGTCAGTTACCTCCCTTGCCTCGGGATATTAGTGACAGTCCACCACAGTACAGACAAGGTGGAGGAGGTGGAGATGCTCAGTGTTAAAGAGTATGTCACCTTATATCTAGTCATAAGTAAGACCAAAACCTTCAAAGAAAATCTGTCTATGACACTTATAATATTGTTTTTTGCAGAATGATGATCAGGTACCACACACATGACATCTGTCTCTCCAGTATTTTGTGCAATAAAGGCAAACACCATCACATCACAGCATGCTTTATTTGTTGTGCAATATTGGTGCGAAATCAGCAGTGCTGGAAGCACTCATAAACATCCCCAACTCTTCCTCTTCTTGCAAACTATGCTAATATACATTACATAACATGCTATACAGAAACTTGCAAGTCCTATAATTCAGTTTTTATTGACATAAAATACAGAAAAAAACATTAAAAAATTGTCAAAGTAAAACAAGAACTATTTAAATAAAAATAATTTTTATCATTATTGTTTTAGATCTTCAAAGGTTCATCCACAAAACAATATAGTGAGCTGGCCTTATTTCTGAAATCTGACAATCACAGGTGGAATGGGGAAGGATTTGGGGTTGTTTTGGGCCATATTTTCACTATTCCTGACTTATCAGAGTGGACTGTTGTACCATTGATGTTATCAGCTAGTGCTGTTTCCTTCTGGTTGAATATGTACTACACCTGCATGTAGGATTCGTTTAAATCCTTCATATATGATTCAATTCTGAGCTCATTGTGATGTTTGATTATGAAAGGAAAATCTAACTCCTAAAACAAATTGCATGTATTAATAATTAAGATATTGAAATAAGATCAACGATCAGAGTGATAACTTGTCATATAATCAAACCTACAAATACATTTAATCAATATGAATGAAGAATGATTTAGATAAATTTGTAATCTTCAAGATATAACAGTAACATTAAATTCAATTGTAACTATTGTTGATTATAATATGTTATTCATTGTTGATAATTTTATTCTTGCATCTTGTCATGTTATGTTAATGATTCTATGAGATATATAGATTTTCATTGTTAATATTTCACAACTTGACACAGTTAAGTTTTACATGTGTCGGACACACAATCGGACTACAGGTTCTCATCTTACAGTTTGTACTAAAACTGATGGAATAATAAATTAATAGATAAATTATAATAAATCAAACAATTGCATTCTGGCTTGGAGCCTTACTAATAGTATCTGTTATGTACAAAGCATGTCTGTCATGATATTACTTATCTTGTTGCCAAGTGATACTGTTATATTGAAAATCATGTAAATGCATTCCTCAGTGAATCTGTGATCTTGTGCGCATCGTATTGTTTGGAACAAAGAAATCAGTTAGCTTTGTCAATGTTGTTCTCAATACATTGAAGCAATGACAATAGTGATACAAGACATTTAGACAGACATTGTTCATGCTGTTAGTTTATGCCAAAATTCATTGTATATATATACATCATCATGTTTCAGACTGTTAAGTATTTTTGAGTGTGTAGTTTGCTCATTTTTTTCTATGTAGAGACTTCTGACAGATTTGATTTTGTTTAAAAAAATTATAGAGTTGTGTTAAGTATTTTTATACAATAACATGTTTGCAGGAAAGCAGTTGTTTCCCTTCCTTACAAAATTATGAACGGGACATGTTCTTGTGATTAGCATATGACACACAATCTTCATAACGTCTTTACATATGAATTTATGTTTAGATTGTGTCGTGGCAAAACTTAACTGAAGTTGAGGTCACATGCTCAGCACATTATAAATTCCACAGGAATAGAAAGATCACGTGACATGAACATCAGATTGTTATTGGACAAGAATGTTTAGCTGTTATTGATACTTAGAAAACATGTCGTCATACACAAGAACATTAGCTCATACACAACTGCTTTCAGTTGGAATTTGCACTCCGTTATTTCTATATTCCAGTATTATTATTACTTTAATCATAACATGATGTATTTTGTTGTTGAATTTACAACTTCTGTGATGCCTTCTATATATTGTCTAGATGTGGTACTTGTAGCATATCATTGTCATGACAACATATTGAAATAAACACTCCACTGCAGTGCAGAACTCTTATGTTGTACTTGCTGCTGTGACCTAGAGTCAACGTGGTGTTCTGATGTTCCCGTCCTGGAGCATGAAATCTTGGTTCTATCAGAGAAATTGAGTTTAACGTAGAGTTGTTTGTCTGTTTGTTTGTTGTTTAATGCCTCACTCAGCAGTATTCCAGCTATATGACGGCGGTCTGTAAATAATCGAGTCTGGACAAGACAATCCAGTGATTGATATCATGAGCATCGATCCACGCAATTGGGATCGATGACATGCATCAACCAAGTCAGCAAGCCTGACCACCCGATCCGGTTAGTTGCCTTTTACGACAAGCATTGGTTGCTGAAGACCTGATATAGTGACGGGCATGCACGTATGTGTGTATGTGGCTGCTTGTACTAGTCCTGACTGATTCCGATTCATAGTGCTAGCTCACTGAGATACCATGCCGCAGCTTAACATGAATACCCCACACAGACACATTATACTGACTCCAAGCCGTCCAGTCATTGTTTTAGCCCCTTAATGCCGAGCGCCGGACAGGGTAACAAGTACCATCTTTTAACGTCTTTTGGTATGACGCGGCCGGGGACGAAACCCCCGGAGCTTCCGCTCAACCACCAGACCACGGAGGCAGTCAGGTTCTATCACAAGATGGTACCCTTGACCAATTCACTACCCTAGAGAACTGACATGTCTCTAAGTCACTTCCCACAGAATCTCTCAAGTGTAATTTGATTGTCATTCAATACAAAATTCAGAACAAAACTAAGGTAGTGAATGCGCCAAGGGTATTTATCAGGATAAGAAATGGATTTTAACCTGGATTTGAGTTGGGTTGAGACAGCAGTCCGGATTAGACATTATGGTTAAGAGTTATGTCCCTTTGTATCATGGGGAGTGAAGTGTCTAGACAAGACATGTCAAGGCCTACATTGTCTTGAAATGTTACCTTTGAGCTGAGGCCACTCTCGGCACCAATCTATGTAAATACACTGTTAATTGATGAGAACAGCTTACTGACATGGACATGGTGACATGACTTCTCAAAAGAAGCGATAGTGGCACTGTGTCAAGTGTATTTATAACTAAATAGAACGGAAGTATACTCTGGATAATCGAGTGAGAGTGAGCTGGGTTTAACCCTGCATTTAACAGTATTCCAGTTATCACCGCATGTCAGCTTACTGTGGGAGGAAAGTCCGAAGTGATGCAAGTCGCAGACGATTCCCACTTCGGTGAAACCCACGAGCATGGGTATGGTGCTGACAAACCTAGAAACATAATTGGGGTGAACCGGGATTCGAACCAATAATCATACGTTTCTGGCGTGCCCAAAGGACGCAACTCTGCACAGCGAATCACGGGGCCTCAGATGACTGGGCCACCTGTGCCCCCTGGATAATCGAGGATGCACAGATGAAGTAATCTCACAAAACACAAAAGAGTAATTGAATGATGTATGATTTAATAATGGATGTTTAGCGTTAGTTGAAAATTAACTTTGTCATAACATGATGTAAAATACATGATTAAAATGATGTATGAAAAGGGTTTTGTAGAATGATACTGTCCAAACAACACACAATGGATATACTTATTTGCTGTACTGCATTCACTAGGATTAATAATCATGTCTTTTGTTACCAGTAGTGGCATAACACCGAGGCACTCCTCCTTACCCACGATCCCTGTAAGGAGCTGGCGATACTACATGTACATCAATCAGAAGAGTTTCCTGACAACATTGTTACCAATGACTGCTCCTCCAGTGAACACAGTACACAAACCCGACATACCCAAAGTGTTCAATGCTAAATTATTGATATAACTGAGCGGCCTAACAAGATATTTTGGACATTGTTCACCGAATGTAATCATGGATGAAACTGATACAATAATAACCTGAAAACAAAGACATTTATCCTACTCCTGTATGCTCTGAACAATATCAAGGTAATTCCCCATTTGTACAGCATCATAATAATGTTTCTTATGCTACTGTTAGCAATATTACAGCAGTATCATGATGGGACACCAGGAATGGGCTTCACACTTTGTACCCATGTGTGAAATTGAACCCAGACTTTCTGCATGTCAAGTGACTGCTTTAACCACAAGGCTACCCCACCCTCATATGATCATAAAGAGATTTTCAAAAATTGTCCTTTAAATTGGTACTTGTTCCAACTTGGTTCGTCAGATTTCAATTGCCCTTTTTTCTTTGTCCCCTCTCTCCAAAGGTTAGAATATCGATTCATTCATTTACAATGAAAATGAGTTCTTTCCTTCGTCCTAACTCAATCCTAAGGTTTACGTAAATGTTAACATGACAAAAGCTTCACTTTACAAAGATCACTTACAAAGGCTTCCAGATTGAACAGCTAGCTCTAGCACTAAGGCAAGTCATACACACACAGGACAACACTAACTACAGCATGACACACACAGCTCACACACATAATTAAAACATATCACATTGGAATACAACCTGGGAGGATTACGCTCCTTTTTACACCAGTTGTAAAAGTGCTAGCAGCGTACTTATGTAATTTTGGTTCCCTCTATAGTACATGCATGACACATATAGGGTTTTTCTGGTTCTGTCCATTGTGTATAGGTTGTCTGTAGCGTTTAGGTTCCATCTGTAGAACATAGGTTCTGTCTGTAATATCAAGGTTCTGTATACATGCATGTTGTATAGGTTTCATCTGCAGTAAACAGGTTCTGTCCATATATTGTCCATGTTTTCGAAGGTTTTTCTATAGTATCTAGGTTCTGCCCGTAGCATCTTGGTTTTTCTAGTGTAGTATGGTTTTGTAGTGTATACATTCTGACAAATGTATACATTTTGTCTGCAGTGTACATGTTCTGTTATAGTTTCTGGATTCTGTCCAAAGCATAATGTTTAGGTTTTGATTGTAGTATCTAGGTTCTGTCCATGTGTTGTTTGCTATAGTATATATGTTCTGTCTGGAGAATATAGGTCTTTTCTGTTGTACATGTGATGACTATAATTTCTAGGTTTTGATTGTGGTATCCAGATTCTGGCTAATAGTATCTAGGTTCTAGATGTCTAGGTTCTGTCTACAGTTTCTAGGTTTGTGTATAGTGTCTAGTTTCTGTCTATAGCATAGAGGTCTTTCTCAGATGAATATACGGTTGTATATATGATTTTTTTAATTTCAAGGTTTTGATTGTAGTATCCAAATTCTGTCTAATAGTGTCTAGGTTCTGTCTATGATGTCTAGGTTCTGGCTACAGTTTCTAGGTTCTGTGTATAGTATCTAGTTTCTGTCTATAGCATAGAGGTCTTTCTCAGATGAATATACGGTTGTATATGTGACTTTTCTAATTTCAAGGTTTTGATTGTAGTATCCAAATTCTGTCTAATAGTGTCTAGGTTCTGTCTATGATGTCTAGGTTCTGGCTACAGTTTCTAGGTTCTGTGTATAGTATTTAGGTTATGTATAGTGTCTCGGTTCTGTCTCTATCAAAAAGGTCCTTTTCAGATAAACATATGGTCCGTCTATAATTTCAAGGTTTAGACTGTAGTATATAGGTCTTGTCTGCAGATATAACTTCTGGTGTATTTGTTGGGTGGACACTTTCATGTACAAGACGTATTTAGCACTGCCTTCGTACAAACATTTTGTTCCCATTTACTCCATAACCACTGATAACGGTCAACAGGAGCTTACTGCTCATCATTGCACAAGAACGATCAACATAGACAGCATCGTCAATATCCCAACTTCTGGTTGTCAAAACCAATATAATACTGTTATGTACACAAGCACCAGTAGATTGAGCATGTTGGATATCACCAGGACAAGACATTGACATCACAATAATACACATTGGGAAGGAAGCATCAACACAATTGTGATTGTTTTCAGGATGTTCTGCTCTTTGATTAGATTAATAGATTATGGTTTTATGCCGCTTTAAGCTATATTCCAGCAATATCACGGTAGGGGAATTGAACTCGGGTCTTCAGCGTAAGGAGCAAACGCTTTAACCACAAGGCTACCCCACCGCCCCAGAAGTAACCTGGACATGTCGTGAGTGCAACTACCTGCTTAATGCCTCTTGCAGCAACTGAGGAAACAAAGCTTGTGGAAAGCAAATATAAACATGAGCATTCGCCAAATTAATATATTTGTATGTTTCTTGTCTCCATCTGCATCATTTTAACTCTCCACATCTGGCTAACTTTTCTAGATGTTAAACAAAGGGCACATAACACCAATTAGCCAGCCTGAAATCAAACCAGTTACATACTTTTGAACAAATTAAATCACTTCTGATATGCTTGACCAAAAGAAAAATTCTACTAGGTTGCATCATTTTAGGCCAAACCAAAAAGAGAAACATGAGTATTTTTAATTTGGGTCTAAGGCTTGCTTTCACAAATTAGCTTAGCTACCACTCATTCTGGAGCAGCATTAGCTCTGAGTAATGTCCTCGTCCTGTGATACGGCAAATGGATACATAGAGGTATGTACAGATGAATGAACAGAACATACTAACAGAACATACTGAAACAACACACTTGGCATCAACACAAAATAACAGATGACTATGATTTGGTAAAAAAACTAATACAGTCAACGCTGGTCAAGTATCTGAGTACTCCTGAAGGCAACAGTGTGAATACTATTGTCATTATGCTGTAGCAGCAGAGGCTCAACTAAAGAATTCAGACATCCAGAATTGTCAGTCACCAACAAGCAAAGATGAATACTTTTTCTATTACTTTTTTTTAAACTTTTAATTAAAAAATTGACTTTTCCAATGATATATTTAGCCTATGTGGGCAGTTCTGTACTTGAAATAACATCTTCATGTTCTGCGTCACTACTCTACAAAATATATTTGCAAGTTCCGGGATAAACCATGCCTGCTTAATTGGGAGAGTTCAAATACAATACAGGGGTAAACAAATCCAGCTTAGAATTCCTCATTTTTAATTTGCACTAGAGAAAAATGTCAACGTACTTTAAGAAAAGGTAGCCCAGCCCACAAATGAGCCCTTTCCAAGTCAAATGAACATAAACCTTTTTAGTAGGGAATAGCCATAAAGAACTTTCTATCCATTCTTAGATTCTTTACACGAAACAATATTCAGCAACTGAGAAATTCATATTCACAGGACTTCCTTACCATGGAAACAATTCTTTAGATACATGTACTTATGTTAAGAAACATGTTATGTTACTCATTCTTTGTTTAACCTCTGCTCTGCTATACCACAGTCATCACACCTAAAACAATGGTCCCTTCAGACAGTTGGTGAAGTGCATCTTCAGAAATTCATCCTTACAAGAAGAAATCGTCACTTTCACGACTTCCTTGGTTACTGTTAAATCCAAATGATCGGAACTCATGAATGCTGTCCATATGGCACCTCTTTTCATTGATGTCAAAGTTTCTGGTTCGCCCCAAAGCTCTAGGAGAACAGGCCTTCAGGTCAAACGGCTCAAAGTAACGATCCTGCAAAAGAGTAATTCAGTAAGCGAAGATTCACACCCATTCTAGCATTGTTTGCAATATCCTCCTCTACAAGTGAAGAAATCCCTTGTCAAAGTATTTGGCTTCATCACTAGATCTGCTACTTGTATTCAGGCCAGGAAGAGGTCTATGCTGTACTGTGCACACGGTGTATTGATCTCATGGGACGTGTATTAAGGTCTTGCATTACTAGCCTAGAAGATCTGAGGGTCAGGAAGACTCAAAAACAAATATACGGCAAATGAAACAAATTGCTTTTGAGTAATGACAGAACCTGTGTAACATTTTCACAGATCATTTGATGTTGAATTAGGTGACATGGCTGCTTCCCAGTAACATATTAAGTGAAAACCAGTGGCTTATTACCAGGAACGCTCCACTCCTTCTCTATTGAAATGTACTTCGTAACATTCCATAAACAACAAATATTCTCACCTCATGGGCAACAAGTTCTGGGAATGTTTCTTTAATAAGAGGCCAGTTCCTGGGGGCAATTTTGGCATGTGGCTGTTTAGCCATAATGAGGAGATCTTTCACAGTGTAGCGTATTGTTGAATTGGCTCTCACAGGATCTAAAATGAATGATAATAAGAAATATCATTAAAAAAGTGTCTACCCCTTAGGCTAAAACAACATAAGTCTTGGTTCTCAGGCACCTCCTGCATCGTAAATTCTGCCGCACATTTCATTTTTATTTCCATTTTTAAAAAGATACATAAAAATCTTTGAATATTTCAGTCTGGACCAGACAATCCAGTGATTGATATCACGAGCATCGATCCTTGCAACTGAGATACAATGACATGCATCAACCAAGTCAGCGAGCCTGACCACCTGATCCCATTAGTTGCCTCCTACGACAAGCATAGTCACAGAGGCATGGGTTGCTGAAGACCTATTCTATCCCGGATCTTCACGGGTCCCCTACACTCAGCAATATTCCAGCTACATGTATAAGATGTCAGCCTGATGGCAGAATCGGGACCAGACAAACCAGTGACTGATTTTGTGTACAATGATATGCAATCAACCAAATCACTGAGCCTGGCAATCCGATCCATTTACTCGCCTCTTATGAGTAGCATGGGATGCTGTGGATTTATTCTTATCAAGAATACTTGAATCCTGTGAAACTGTTCAATAAGAAATCAAGATCAGTACAACAATGACAGATTTTCATGCAAAAACCTGATGAAACAAAATTTAAATCAGGCCAAGTTCATAATGAGAATTTTATCCAATCAACATGAACAAGTTCCCTTAGTGAAGGATTGTGTGACATGTTGCTGTACACAGCATAGTTATAGCCATGCAACAACAGCTTGTAAGAAAAAGAAGCTGTTCCAAACAAACCAGTAACACACACATACTCTTGGCCCTGGATCTCCAATGGGTCCGATTCCCCACACAAGCATGGAGCACAAGGACTCTTGGCCCTGGATCTTCCAAAGGTTTTATTCCTCAAAGGAGCATGGATCATTAGGACTCTTGGCCCAGGATCTCCTAAGGGTCTGATTCCCCACAAAAGCATGGAGCACAAGGACTCTTGGCAATGGGCCTCCAATGGGTCGGTTTCCCCACACAAGCATGGATCATTACAACTTTTGGCCCTGGATCTCCTCAGGGTCTGATTCCCCACACAAGCATGGATCATTACAACTTTTGGCCCTGGATCTCCTCAGGGTCTGATTCCCCACAAAAGCATGGATCACTAGGTCTCTTGGCCCTGGATCTCCCAAAGGTCTGATTCCCCAAAGGAGCAGCATTCATACTAACCCATACAAGAAGACACACAGGAAGTAGGAGGTTCGCACCTCCTGTCATCCTCATCTATAAGAGACCACTCCAGGTCACTTTCTTCATTTGAGCAGCTGCTGCGGCTGCTACTACTGCCACTGCTGATGCTGCTGCAAGATAGCCTCTGGTCATAATCTGCCCAAACAGATACAGGGATGTTATATGGCGTAAACAACTTCGGTGTGACATGACAAATCAGCATGTCAATGGTAAGGTGGCAATATGATTCACAATGAAATAGTGACATTTCCACTTGTTACTTTTGTTTGTTTGTTGTTTAACGCCGCACTCGGCAATATTCCAGCTATATGATGGCGGTTTGTAAGTAATAGAGCCTGGACCAGACAATCCAGTGATTGACATCATGAGGATCAGTCTACACATGTGGGATTCGATGACATGCGTCAAACAAGTCAGTGAGCCTGACCACCCGATCTTGTTAGTCGCCTCTTACAACAAGCATGGGTTGGTGAAATATTCTCTACTCGGATCTTCAGGAGCCTGATAGAAACATGTTGATTGGTGGCAGTGTCTAAGTTTATCATAATTTTACCTGTAAAAGTACCATTTCAAGCTAATCACAGTGCCAGTTTAAGCTAGATTAGGTAGATTTGTGTTATTTCGATATATGCTATTTTCCTAGTCCTTTGATTGATATTAATTAAGAAAGCATTTTTCTAACATTTCCGACCGTACTTTAAGAGATCATGCATATCAAGTTTCTTCCAATTCCAATCACAAATACTCAAATTATTGTACATGTACAGAGTAAGATGTTTGGACACCAAGTCCATACTAAGTGACCTTGATCTTTCATATTTTCCTATCATATCAGAAAAATTAACCAGGGGCATAAAATTGAATGAGTGAATTGGGGTACGCGGTTTGAACAGTATTTCACTGGCATCTTGACGTGTCAGTTTGATGTGGGAGGAAAGCCCGAAGTGATGGAAGTTTTCGACATTTACCAGTTTGGTGAAGCCACAAGTGTCCCTCAAGGTTATATGTATAAGACTGATGTCATTTGTTTGTTGTTAACGCCGCACTTAGTAATAATCCAGCTACATGACGGTGGACTGTAAATAAATCGAGTCTGGACCAGACAATCCAGGGATCATGAGCATCGATACACGCAACTGGGATATGATGACATGCATCAACCAAGTCAGCGAGCCTGACCACCTGATCCCGTTAGTCGCCTCTTACTACAAGCATAGTCTCCTTTTACAGCAAGCATGGGTTGCTGAAGACCTATTCAAACCCGGGACTTACGGGTCCACTTGTTACTTACTCGGTTTGAAGAGACCGGGAACTTTGGGCATATTAACTGCTATTTCTTTTTTCTGCACCTGAAGGAAACATCAAGATCATACCTTTCAAGTGGCTCCTACGTGAAATATTTCAGCAGCCAATTGACTATTTTGACATTGACAGGCCTGAGAGACAACTGTATCCTCATGTTCTTTTCTTGGTAACGAACAAAATATTTCATGAGTCAAGACAATTTTACATGTTTGTTTGTTGTTGAACGCAGCACAGAGCAATATTCCACCTATATGACGGCGGTCTGTAAATAATAAAGTCTGGACCAGACAATCTAGTGATTGACATCATGAGCATCAATCCACACAATTGGGATACGATGACATGCATCAACCAAGTCAGCCAGCCTGACCACCAAATCCTGTTTGTCGCCTCTTACGACAAGCATGGGTTGCTGAAGACCTATTCTACCACTTACATTATCCCAACATTCTAATCATCAATATCACCGATATTGTCTCAAAGAAAGGGTTAAATTAAGCTGAAATTAAACAGAAAAAAACAAATATATGCCCACTCAAACTAAAATATTAAAATTGTTAGAATATGTCCCACATACAGTCAATCAGCAGATCAAGGTGGGGATGCTGTGTTTTTAAGACACCTAACATGTCATACAGCGATGTCAGTCTGTTTTCGTTCACTTCATAGCCAGAATGTGCCCCCTTCACCCCATTTTTTTCAAAACCCTGTATCCATCAAATGTTCACACACACCTCTGCTGAGTCATCCTCCTCGTTGTCTATCTGAATCAGTTCTCCATCCATGTGACATGCTAAAAGGTTAGCAGCTCTCTGAAACAGCAATGTCCTTCTTCAACTGAGTGTGAAAGAATTGTGACAATACCCTTCTGCCACACTTTTAGGTGGGGACTCTTGAGTTCGCATCACTAACTACCATATTCAACATATTAAACACCTAGGGAGCTCTCAATATTAGAAATAGGAGGCTCTTATTAGAATATTATTTTGATCAGTTTAAAGATCGTAAATTTTGTAGTTTATGCTGACACCCTGAAATGTTTATATACGACAGAAATATTTTTCCAGAATTTAACTGCCAATAAATAAGGGTGCATATAACACATGAGTGCATATTATACATGAATAAATAAGTCTTGTGTATATTGATCAATCAGAAGGGGTGCTAATTGGGATTGTTCACTAGCCAATATCGCCGTTCGCGCTTATTAAGTCGAATACGGTTGGGTTTAGCAATAAGTTCCGAATGAATTCACCATTCCAATGTAATGTGTTTTGATTGGCTGGAATAATCACTTCTGGGAATGAGAGTTAACTCTCTTACATCACAAGGCCCTATCCGATTTAAGCTTCCGATTTAAGCTTCCATTTTATGATCTTATTTTACAATTTATTATTCCTGTCACTCTCTTGTCATGGTGTTTAAGAAAAGAAAGCAGACGAAGGGGACAAATATATTTTATTTTTTAACTGAAGTTCTGAATATTATCTGTTGTGTTTACAAAGTCAAATTATGGGGTAATTTACATTTGAACTGTCTTTGAAGGGATTAACTAAAATGTGAAAAGTAAAAATGTCACATATGAATACATAAAGCGACACTGACAAGTTGAATACCTGATGGACATTAAAAAAGGTAACATTCCCTAAGTTTTCCATCTTTATCTGAAACATTTGTGTCTCCCCGGGTTTCAACCAATGTCCACAATTCTTAGAAAGCCAAGGGTCATTGGGCCCCATTGTTCAAGTTACTGATATGAACACTGCACTTCATTAGCTATGTTTGGAGCTGCAAGTTTCCAATCTCAACTAAAACATTTTACAATTGTCAATTCAGGAAAACAGAGCATTCAAATGTTAGCACTACATGCCTATGCTGCTTATAACCATTCCAACAAAGTTGTCACTGAACTTTTGTGTTGGTAATTATTTATTTCTGTGCTGAGAATGATACAATCACTATTGCCAATATAATTCAAAGACCTTGAACGGTTGAACATAAGTATAAACATTACAAAACAGTTATTTTTTTCATTTTGCTTAAGAATTAACTTTGTTTGTGACCACATTTTGTACTTGATAGCTGTGCATATAATTACTTTTCTTAACTGACCCCTTGTATGTTTAATCAAAACGAAACATCTCCATCAAATAACCAAAACTAAAGTTTACCCACCAGCAGACTCTTCAGACATGTTGATGCAATGACGAGTGTTTCTGTATTTCCCCCTCCGAGCTGTATCGTTCCAGTAAAGGAAGAACTTTTCTTCTTCTCCGGTATATTCCGGGATTCCTGCATCCTGCAACTTCTCCGCTGCTCCCCGGTGCGTTGGAAGCCAGGAGGAGGTCTGCCCTTCAGAGAGTCCAGCGGGCTGGTCTTATGCTGAATGTTATTATTCGTGTCACTGCACATGTTTGAGTTACGCAAGCCATTCTGCCCCCTGGGGTAGTGTTGTGTGATGATTTCTGGTGGATGGGCACGGGTGTTGGGTGGCAATGTGTGACAAGGTGTCGAAAGCTGCAAAGAAAATATTTTCTGTAATGAGTGAGTTGAGTTAAACACTGCTTCGAAGAGTGTCAGTTTGATGAAGATGTTGACCAACATCGTGAATCTACTGCACAAGTTTGGTGCTGTCAAACTCTACCAGTGAAATCATGTGTCTGGTAATAAGAACTAAAAATGTACAAAACTATTTTATTTCTGCCAACAGTGCATAATGTAATTACTGATTTTTAGTCTGATCTTTTTCCTATTCTGCTCACTAATCCCTGTGCTCCTTGATTTCAATTGCTGATTGTCTCTGGACCTTCTAGATAATTATTTTGTAACATGATTAAGGTATACAAATTTACATTCTTATTATCCACACTGCGATTTACTTTACATGGTTCATTCTTACTGTATAAGTGATAAGTATTTAACGAAGAACATAGATGATTATCCTTTGTTAAACTGACAGCAAGACATTTTATAGTCCATTTCCTAAATTAGCACTAGATCAGGAATATATCTAGACCTGATTAGAGGCCGAGACTACTGTCCCTTTAAGTCTGCAGCAATTGTCAGTAAAACTTCCCAAATTTGAACTACACATTTCCCAATTCACGCTGTTGTATTTATAACTAATTAATGGCTTTGTAAGGTGACTTGTACTTCACTGATGAACTTCCTAATTCTGAACAAATTTGTTTGGAATCCGAGATAAATCCCTGTTAGATGATGGTGGTGAAATGTAGTTCAATGCCGTGTCCAAGATTATTGCACTTATATGTACGTCTGCTTGTACTAGTCTGGACTAATGCCAATTTTATAGTGCTTGCCCACTGAGATACCATGCCACAGTATAACATGAATACTCCCCTACCAGTCCTTGTTTCAGCTCCTTAATGTCGAGCACGAGGCAGGGTAACAACAAGTGCCATTTTTTAATGTCTTTTGGTATAATGCGAATGGGGATCAAATATACAACTTTCCGCTCCCTGAAAGGGTGCTCTACCACTAGACCATGAAGGCGGCCTCCCTGCTAGATACTCAAACATATCTTATTAAGATATGACAAAATAAGAGGGGGTAGCTAATGGTCTTGTCAATTACTGTATTCAGATAACAATGTCCAATCACAGGGACTTGATAAATGACATTTATTTTGATCTGCTCAGAGGCTAATATTTGGACCCAAGTCTCAGCAAATGTCATTGAAAATTCTCAATTCATGCAATAGTGAGAGTATGGTTTTAGCCCGCTTTTAGCAATATTCTAGCAATATCACGTCGGGGGACACCAAAAATGGACTTCACACATTGTACCCATGTCGGGATTCGATCCTGGGTCTGCGGCGTGACGAGCGAATGCTTTAACCACAATGCTACCCGACCGCCCAATATTCATGCAATAACTAATAACCCATTTTATCACTTTGTAAAGGTAACCTGCCACTGATAACAGGAATAAAAGAAGAGGAAGACGCTTCAATGGTTAGTTTTATATTATCCTAAACTGCCTGCCAGGGGTACTTAGTTATAGAATAAACATATATACCACTGAGGCCTTCACTCGGCAATCTGGTGTGTCTTGGATTGGCTGAGTGGATTTCACAAATTCCTTTGCTCTTTGCTGAATCAAATTAACTTTGTCTGTGAAATCATCTGGCTCAAACTGTGTGTCTGAAAGGAGATGCAAAGATAAAAAACACTCTTTAAGACTTTTTCGCACATTCACATGCTTCAATTAATCAAAGAAATTCCAGTGTCACACATTGGTTTTCCTAATATGAGGGACTGAACCTTCTGTCAAGAGAACAATGGTATATGGTCATCATTGGTCAGAGGTCTGGGAGACTGACTAGTCCGAGTGAGTGAGTGAGTTGGATTTAATGCTGCTTTGAACAGTATTCCAGTTATATCTCGGCGTGTCAGCTTAATGTGGGAGGAAAGCCAGAAGTGAGAGTCTTTGACGTTTACCACTTTGGTGAAATGAGCACAGGTATGGTGCTGACTAACCAAGAAACATAATCAGGACGAACCAGGATTGGAACCCACAATCATAGGTGTCTGGCGCGTCCAAGGGACACAACTCTGCACAGCAAATTCCGGCTGACTCGTCTGAAGCCAGTAGATATTATAGTCTACTGAGAAAACTAAAACAGTGTTGAGAAGTACTCGTAAAATCAGCAGCCCCTTCACAACCATTTCCAGGAGGCACCAGAAATCGTTTTCAGGGATGCCATTACTTTCAGTTGAGTTGTGAAATACATACCTACTTCAAACTCAAACCAGATAGTTACCTTGGCTCAAACTAACACACAATGAGGAAACTAAATGCATTTCTTCCCTGACATCACTTCCAGTCAAATGATATCAGTTTTGGTTTGGAAAACAAATACCCAATGCAGCACAATTCTAAACCAGAAAACCCTATTCCTCTAGCTGCTTTAATAAGAAAATTATAACCATATCCAGTTGAATGACACTATTTCTTGTTGGAGAAAACATGTGTCATGCATGCATACAGTGCAACTATAAAACAGAAAGGCTCCTGGTTCTGACAACATATATATATATATATATATATATATATATATATATATATATATATATATATATATATATATATGAAAGTTATATGAACTTCCAATTTATAGACATCGCTTCTGGTTTAGAAAAAACACTTGTCCATGCAAGAAAGCTTCTAGCTACTTTAATAAGTAATCTACATGCACTTACGCCTTAATGGCCTTGGCCCTCCACCATTGCAGCCAATCCCAAGCTTAATTGTTTCTCGTTCAAAACTGGGGTGCTAGGTCTTACAAACATGTCACACAAAAGCAAACCTTTCTTCATGCCATGATCATAGAATAGACCATGACATGGCTGATCAATGGACATTTTGTTTGTTTGTTGTTTTATGCCACACCCAGCAATAATCCAGCTATATGACGGCTATCTGTAAATAATTGAGTTTGGATCAGACAATCTAGTGATTAACATCCTGAGCATTGATCCACGCAATTGGGATACCATGACATGCATCAACAAGTCAGCGAGTCTGAGCACCCGATCCCGTAAGTCACCTCTAACTTGAATATTGCTGAGTGTGATGTTAAAAAACAAACAAGCTATGTCTGACATCGGAATCTCACCTGTGTCCTCTGGTACTTTCTTCAAGGGTCTTGGCTTCTTCAGCCCAGTCATTCTTGCTGCTCGGCCCATCAATGCAGTAGACATGACTAGAAGACAAATACAGCAATATTACACAGCGAGATAGGAAGGGAGCAAACAATTTCCAAACCACTAACTGCTGATGGGCGATTGGGTTAATACCATGAATATGTCAGATTGCATTTAAACACGTTCCTACTGACCCAATATTTAAAGGGGCACTGACCTAAAGCAATTCCTCGGGACTGGTTGTTGCCTTTGTCATGTTTTTCCCCCGTGAGTAACTAGATGATACTGTTGCTATTGAAATATCAAGAAACTACCCTGACTAGTTCGCGACCTGTGCTGTGCAATTCGTAAGTGCATTTGTCACTTTTATTGATTTCATAAGGGCGTATGGTCACATTGATCAACAAAATGAAATACAGTTTTGGAAATAATAAGGAAATTTAGGTATCTTTATGGGTAGCATTGGTAATGCTGACGAAGTTTTGATAAGTCACATGCTTGGTAATTGTGCAGTTTTAATTCACACTATTTTGACTTGCAACACAAAGTAAATATTTCACCTGAGCATTGCTTATTTTATCTTGTTTAAATTTTTACAGTCAAAATGTGCAAAATTTTCACTTAGGAAATTTATTCAGTTGTTTTACAAATTGACTGAATTATGTCCATCTGTATTATTATGATAACGAATTCCAAACATTTTTATGGTTAATATCATCACCAAGTGACTGAAAATATTAGGATAAAAAGTACATTTGTATATTGTTTTGCTTCTAATCCTAGCATAATTACCGGTAATCTATTGTGATGTTTTTTACTGTCTTAATAATTTTTAATCAATCTGTTAAATATGGACAGATTTTTAAGTCAATTTGTAAAATGACTGAAATATTTAGACATTTTATAAATTGCCTGAGTGAATCACATTTTACAAATTGACTGTAACATATACATGCCTACAAAGGAAAAGACTTGTGAAGACAATGTCCATCACGCATCGAAGAACTTCCCAACCAAGACGTAGAGGAACAAGAATGATTCTGTTCAATGCTACCCAGCAAATGAATGAAAACAAAATGCAAATATCATAATTACAACCTACCAAAGTTATATGTATAATTTTAGGCAGCTTCCTTGTTTGAGGAATGTATCTGTGAATATCCACACAAAGGAACAATATCCCACATGTTTGCAGCTGTACAAAGAAACTTATTCAATGTCACGTGTCTCAGTAACAATCAAATATTTTAAAATACTGTTTCAGGATATTATAACCTGTGTTCGTTTCTCAACTGATCACTGAGTTTGTTTCAGTTATTTCACAAGTCTCAAAGGTCAGCTGAGAAAGCCCACGTGACAACTAATTTCATAACGTCCACGGATCTTAAAAAAATCCATTGAGTTAGATAACAATGAGCAATCAATCAACATATTATCAGTTTACCCTTTGAACGAAGTAAGTTGTTTTTACATCAGCACTTCACGCCATGATATGAGTGTATTCCCTTGGCTTTAGTAAACTTACACATGTAAACACTTACTTTTGACATATCCAGTGTGCAAGATAACAGTGATTAATCAATCAACGTATTTTCTGTTGATCCTTTGATGGCTAGGAATGATCCATTGATTTACAAAAACGTAAATCAACTGATCATTCATCATTGCTGAGCTGCCACGTGCATATTACATAACACACATTTCACCTCATTTTAAACCTGGATTTAGATTGAATAATTACCCCAGACACAAGAAATGCCAAATGGGAACCTTTATCAGGTAATCTGAGTGGTACTACCACTAATAATACCTGTAATAAATTCATTAACTGAGCATCAAGTGAATGACGACAAAATACACAAGTGTTGGGTTATACCGGAAAACATGGATGACAAGAAGGGAGTAGTAATCAATCGTATTATCCATGCAACATGAAATCCGGAAGCTTTCACTGCAGGGATACTTTTTTTATTATTAATCTATAACCATCAGGGGTATTTACAAATACCGACATCCGGTGAGATTTCGGCGGTCTTTTTGTCTGTTTGTTTAGGATAAAGGAATTAATTAACATGCACCCTTTGTCGAAATCTTCATAGATCACGGCTAACTAATCATTGTTAAAAAATGCGTAAAACAAATATTGCCTCCAAGTTTAGTTAGCTGTCCTTGCAGACATGAGCCCAGTCTCTTGTCACACTCAGTTGCGTTAGCGAGCAAATCGACTCACACGGCAGCTTGTGAGCCCTAGCGGCCAGTGTCAGACAGCCGAGAAGAAGCCAGAGATTAGTGCCCCTATAAATCCACATGCCAATTAAATGCAAATACAAACTTGACAAAATGGATGCCTTAGTGTTGTATGAACCTATAACACATCTTGTTTGCATATTATGGTGAATATAAGAAGATGCATGTACATATTCACAAAGACCTTTTAGACCCTTAAACTCAGCACAGAAATCTGAAGTTCTGTGTTAAACAATGAAATGCCCTATTCATTCTCAGCACCATACACCAGGCAAAACGATAATCACCAACACTTTGTTTTCATATATCCCAACACTGCAACGTATGTTTTGGAATAGATGGTGTTACAAATGTAACATCACTGTAGGACACGTTAAAAAAAGGCTGACCAAATGACCATGCCATCCTTGACACATGGCAACAAAAGAAGTACTTATTTATTATTTGATAATTAAATGTCTTCCATTCTCACAAATAAAAGATCATGAGGTTTTGACAATGTTGTCTTTGATAACCTTGGCCTTCAAAGTTGTTGTTTAGTCAAGCAGTTTGGACAGCTACTTCACAATGAGTGACCTAAACCTTCATTCTTAGCCAATCACATGTGAAAAACATATGTAAATGCAGACTTAAGTGGTGTTACAAATATCATACTGACAATACTTTCTGAAAGAAACTATTTAAAAATTATTTTGTGAGCAAATGACCTACAAAGTGACTATTTATGGCATTAATGTGTTATGTGACCTCTAGTGTTCTTGACCTTATACAGGTCTGAGCATGATGGAGGTCTGAAATGGACTATAGAAATATGAGCATGTGACTCCGTATTAATATTAATGTAATCTTCACAAATCATCTTATCCACAAAAAACAAGTCCATTGGGGAAAATTCTAGATGTGCATCTTAGAAAATAACAAAATGACGCTGCATTTGTTAGGTCAACACTTCTTCCATGATGCATGTTGCATTATACGTGTAAAGCCATAGAGTCATGGTATGCGACATGGAGTCTGTAGTAGGAAAAGTTGAGATAGATAGAAGGAAACCATTTATTAGATTAGATAGGGTGTATTTCCGAACTGCCCAAGCTCTGGGGCTTTCATACCAACAAGTCTATAGTATGAAAAAGAAAAGAAACAAGAGTCATCCGAAGATGACATATCCCCCCCGACGTGGCATGGCGGTAAACATTGTGTACCTTCAAATAACAAACTGCACTACTAGTGAACATGATAGATATTTGCATAAAGTTTGGTGAATCTCTGTCGCATGGTTTAGAAGATATGCTCCAGACGAGGACATTACCCTAAGTTCATCAATTTTCAATTTAAATTGAAAAAAGAAAAAAAAAAAAAAAAAATCTGTTAATAGCAAAGGCACCACTACATAACCTGCTTGATAGGTGTAAAATATTTTGAGAAGCTAAATTGTATGGTTCGGGAGATATGGTCCGGACAAGAGCACTACCCTCAAATTTCCTAAGTTCATATTTCCATGGAAATCTCTAAATAGCAAAAGGCACTACTACTGAGCCTGATTGGTAAGTGTACCAAGTTTTGTGAAGCTAGGTTGTACAGTTTAGGAAATATGCTCCGGACAAACAATGATTATAGATGGACAGACGGACGGACGGACAGACGGACAGACGGACAGACGGACATACTAATGGCTATATCCCCCCGTCATTATATGTTGGGGGGATAAAAAGGTAGGGGTTGTCTGAAAAAAGGGATGTTAAGGGGTGATTAGGCATACAGTGTACATGTTTTATGAGCAGAAGGTACTCCCAACTTGTAGAAGACTTCAGTAGGTTAATGTTTCCCAGACTACCTTAATTATTGCTCTCCAAGAGACAGGATTTCAATAAACCGCACGTGGCGATGACCAAGCAGTTTTCAGGGGAAAATATTCCATCCTGCCTATGAGGTCATATTATATCCGCTTTCATGACTATCGCAGTCAGGGCTTCTAGATCATTTACCTTGATGAAACCTGGATGAAGAACAATCATTCCACTGACTATATGTGGCTACCGTCAGATGGGTGAAAAGCATTCATGGAACCATTAAGTTAAGGTAATTGTGTCATTGTTTTGCACACCGGAACCCATGATCTGGGGCTTACTGATGAATATGTGCTAGTTTTCGAGGTGAGAAATTTGGTTTGGTTGGTTTGATGTTTTACGCTGCACTTAGCAATATTCCAGCTATATGACGCCGGTCTCTAAATAATAGAGTCTGGACCAGACAATCCAGTGACTGACATGAGCATCGATCTACGCTATTGGGATTGATGACATGCATCAACCAAGTCAGCGAGCCTGACCACCCGATCCTGTTAGTCGCCTCTTACGACAAGCATAGTTGCCTTTTACGGCAAGCATGGGTTGCTGAAGACCTATTTTTTATGTCAAAGAGTTGATCAACGCAGCCTTTGCTAGAATCACACCAGAGGTTTGGCAAATGGCTTAAGATCACGTTCTTGAAATACAACGTCGGTACAGCCAATATGATGGCGTAGATATCAGCCTTGCTGCACAAATTATCATACCTTTGGGTGAAAATACAGATTCAGATATGTCTTCAGCTGAATCAGATAGTGGCCAAAGAAATCTGTAGAACCATGAATATTTCTTGATTCAAAAACCCTTATCTTCCAATACTCATCTTGTTTCATATTTTTTAACTATTCCATCATTTTCCCAAGCAAATATAATGCAGTACACATCTTAATTTCTACCCTCATCAATGCATATCATCTCAATAAAGAGATATTGCACCTGTGAAATAGCACAGCCAGTATGAGTTC